TCATAATTAACCACATGCCGCTGCTGCTTAAGCGTGTGTGTCGCTTTATATAGAAACGCTTTGCATAATCAACCGGTTATACGTATTTACCAGTTTCTTTCTTCTTCAACCACATGAAATTAAGTTTCGATTTCAGCTCATCTGCAATAATATTGTATTTTTTTCTTTCTGTCATTACTGTTGTTGGTGTCTAATTTGCATTACATGCCATGTCACCGTGATTGGCTGTGTTGCGGTGTTCTCTGCGTAGGCATTTGGCATTTTTTAATAAATATATAAAATAATTAGCTGCTGGTAACCGCAAGCGATTAAAGGTTTTCAAATATTTTTTAATGCAAATATTTTTTTTTTGTTTAATTTTTAATTAGCTTTGAAACGTGTTGACAATTTTTTCCGTGTAAAACTTGTTTTGCCATTGCCATTTGACATTCAGAAAATCATTTCATCCATTGGATATTCAATATTTTTATATAACCACTCTTGAAGTTGAAGAATTTTGCAAAGTTGTTGACATATTTTTTTTATGCGATTAAAAATGATTTTGTGCAGTTTCGAGGTTGCAATGAAGTAAAGCTCTAGATACACGGGCATCGGGCAGTGTGAGCAGCGAGGTGCTCGCTCCTAACTCGTTCGTTGCTTAACTGCTCAAATTATAGTTTGAAAATTTCAAAATTTCATTACAATTTCAATGAATAAATTAATTATCAATAATTTTTGGATGTTGGTCGGAACGGGACTCAAGCCATGGCCTTTGCAATTGTCATTACGCAAAGCTAACCACTCGGTTACCGCGATCAAAGAATATCTCAGATCTAGTTAAAATATGTCTATCATCGGTATCTTATTAAAATAGTCAAATCACCTTTTTTTTACGAAAAACGCACCCTGGAAATGTGGGCAACTCTTGCGCAAGATGCAAAGCCTAGGTTCAGGGTTTAAAAAGAAGAAGTTTCACGGAGCCACTTCGACTTATTCGGTTTACGGTTTCTTTGATGTCTAAATACTGCGTTTGTTCACCAGAACTGTGACTGCGAACGGCCGTCGGACTTACCACCTTTTTTCAATGACAACCACTGCAATTTAAGTATCATTAGTTGCGATGGATGCACAAGACCGGAGCGAGTAGGTCTTTGTGAAATTTACCACAGCACCCGTATAAAGGAGCACAAATAAGGTCGGACTCCTGGTGACAGAGAAACTCCGTCGCCAAGTACCGGCATTTACCACTGTGGATGAAAATCTCGCCACAATGCGTATTTGCTGATTTGTGCCCACGACTAGTTGGACGTGACGTGACTAAAGATACGAGGAACTTTATGAGTGCCTAGAGTACACTCAAGAGCGTGGCCGGCGCCATGATGTAAAAATCGTGTTTGGCTACTTTAACGCTAGGCTGGGTAAAGAAGGTCTATTTGGTACAACTATTTGAAAATTTAGCCTCCAAAACGAAACTTACCCTAATGGGTTGGGGCTACTCGACTTCGCCGGGGCCCAATATATGTACTAGATTCAAGCGCAAAAAAATTCATGAAGCTACTTGGCTGTCCCCAAATCGAAAATTTCAAAGCCAAATTGATCATATTGTGTTGACGTGCGTACACTCCGAGGACCCAATATCGACTCCGACCACTACCTTATTGCAGCGAAAGTACTCATTCGAGTCTGTGCAACAAAAACTTAAGGAAATTTGGACGTCGCAAAGCTGCAATCACAACAGAGAGCTGAACGGTCGTTTACTCGTCTTGCACTCCTGCTCTCTGAGAGCACTACGCACAGCATGGAAAGTCTCGTAGACACACACCATCTCTTCATCGATTTTAAAGCAGTTTCAAAGGTTTTCCCTTTCTTTTAAGCACTTTAGGGGTGCCACCTATTTAACCATTTGAATTATTTCTTGCAGCACCTGCTAAATTCGCTCTCAATATTTGTAATAAACTTTGTCTTTAAAGCGATAATAATTTTTTGAATATTTTTTGCTTCCTCGCGAATGAGTGAACCTGCAGCTATGTAAGGTTGACAATTTTTTTTTTCAAATTCACTCCCTCTAAAGTTTTTGGATATTATAATATGTATGGCATTTGTTGTTTGTTAGTCTATCCAGCAACAATTTCATGGGTAAATTGCTTACTCACAGGAAAGTGAACAAACTTTTCTTTCCAAGGACTCCGATGAGCCCAAACAATTGCAATAATTTGAATATAATATTACTTAAAAATAGTTTAAAAGGAGCAGAAAGAAATGAAAGTGTCTAATAGCATGCCAAGGACGACAGGTAATGCAAGAGCGACGACAATCAGCGATATATTTACTTCTGGTTTTCTCTGAGGCAGTGTCAAATAGCGTTTGACCGTATCAACGGTAAAGGCCACAAATAGCGAGACAAAACTGTCATGCATTTGGAAATAGCAAGTAAATTAGCATAAAAGTATCACACGGATATAGAAGATGCATGAATTTGATTATCTATAAGCACTTTGCCAAGAATAGTTCACTATTCATGCATGCGTTAAATATAATCAAAGCAAACACTGATAAGAGACGCAAATCGGCGAATAAAGTCAACCAAACATGAGAGATCTCAAATAATGTAAATGTGGGAGAAAACTATGAACACAAACACGAGTATTACCTAATTTCAATGAAGCAGAAAGTGCAGCAGAAGCAGACAAATAATGCATGAACAATTAAAGAAAGAAAAAAAGCACAAACAAAAACAATAGTGGCAACTATGAATTGACGACAAATGAAGTAATAAAACAAAGAAAATCAAGAAATACCAGTCATACAACACATAACACACCACTGAATGCAACAAAAAGTTGACGGTCCATTCGCCAATTCCCTGCAATACCCCTTTGCTGTTAGTGGTTACGGAGCAAGTATTGGCCTAAGAGCCACCACATGTTTGGAATTTTTTTTTTAATTTTATTTATAAAACAATATAAAAATAACTGGCGACGGTCGCAGGCGTGCAAAAGCAGAAAAGACAAAAAAAAAAGCAAAAAAAAAAATAAATAAATAAATAAAAAAAATGTAAGGAAATCTATGAAAAACGCAACGTAGACAATTTATCGCATTCCATGCATGCGGAACTCGTTCAATATTTCAATATGCACTACAAGTGTAAATGTGGAAATATTAAAAACTAAGTTTTTATTATTATTTATTTTTCATTTATTTAATTGTGTGCTTTTTATTTAAGTTCATTTAATATAATTTTAATACACTTTTTGAAATTGATTTAGTTTTATTTTATGTTAATTTGTTTTATCTTACTTTCTTTTATGTTAATATAGCGTTTTTCATTACTTTTATTTTGAATTAATTTTTTTAAACTCGTATGGTTTTGAATTTTTTTTTTATTCATTTCATTTTATTACAATTTATTTAAATTTGTTACAATTCACTCTCTATTTAACTTCATTTTTTCTGTTTTATGTCCATTCAATTTATGTTCCATTATTTTATTTTTATCTATTTTATTTTAATTTATTACACTTTCCTCTCTATTTAACTTCAATTAAACTCATTTCGTTTTGCCTTGTTTTATGTTCAATTTCATTGTTAATTTATGTTAATTTAATTTATGTTTAATGCACTTATTTCAATTTATTTAATTTAATTTAATTTAATTTAATTTTATTTTATTTCTTATTATTTTATTTTATTTTACTTCATTTTATTTTATTTTGTTTTATTTTATTTTATTTTATTTTATTTTATTTTATTTTATTTCATTTCACCCAATGGTTGACTTTAATTTATTGAATTTAATATGATTTTATTATTTTATTTTTATCTGTTTCAGTATTTTTTGTTTAAGTTTATTATATTTTATATGATTTCATTTTTCCTGTTAATCAATTTAATTAACATAATTTGCATTTTATTGCATTACATTTTACTTTGTCTTTTAGGATTTCATTGCTCTTTTTTGTTTTATTTTATTTTACTATTTTCTATTTATATTTATATAATTTAAGTTATGTTAATTTAATTTAAGTATATTTATTTGATTTAAATTTGACTTAAGTTTATTTCATTTAACTCAATTTTATATTGCCATATCTTATTTTCTTTAATTTATTTTATTTTATTTTATTTATTTTGTTGTATTTCTTTTTAAATTTTAGAATTACTAGTTTTAAATTTCATTTTGGCAGGCATTATTTTATTTTATTGCATTATATCTTTTTTTGTCTTATTTAACTTAATTTACTTTTATTTTATTTCATTTAATTTTTCTTTAGTTTGTTTAAATTTATCTAATTCAGTTTTATTTAATTTAAAAAAAGTCTTTAATTTTTTTAGTTTTTTGTTGTTTTATTTTATAGCATTTAATTATACTTTCTCATATTTCTCATTATAAATTTTGTTTGATTTTCTTTTATTTCATTGAACTTGTCTTTAATATATAAATACATTTATTATGTTAAGTTTGTTAAGTTTTATTTCGTAATGTTTAATTTAATTTTTTTTATATTTTATTTTATTTATTTTTAGTTTATATATTTTATTTTATTTTTTCCTATTTTATTTTGATTTGTTATTTTATATGTCACTCTATCTCATGTAATTTTATTTTATTCTTTTTTATTTCATTTTTTTATTTTACTTTTCTTCACTTTATTTGTATGTTTAATTAATTTTTTTTGTTTTTTTATATTTTATTTTAAATTTTTATTTTTTATTATATTATTTAATTTAATTTTTCTTACAAGTTTTTTATTTAATTTAATTTTTTTTCTATTTTATTTTAATTTTGTTTAAGTTTTTCTTCTTTTTATTTCATTTAATTTTTATAAAACTTTTTTTTTATTATTTTTAACTTTCAAATTTTAATTTTCATTAATTTATTTTTGATTATTAGTTTTATATCAATAATTTTAACTTAATTTATTTTTCTTTAAATTTTTGTTTATTTAATAATTTTCTTTGTTTTAGTTTTGAATTATTTTATAAATCTTGATTACATTTTACAACATTTCCAGCGAGCTTACCTGTTGCAACGGAAAAAAGCGCCAGCACAGCACCTAACGTAAAGAGGTCCAATTTGCGGCTTTGCATTTTGCTTTGAGATGTTTTCTCTTTTTACTTATATTTTTTATTAGTTTTTTATTACAACCGCCTTACTGCGATTGAAATGTGATTAACAGTAATTTAAAGAAACTATATGTAAGGTCCTCTCTTTATTTCCTCTTTATTCGCACTGAACTGCCACGACACCGTTATCAAAACGACAATACTCCCCGGACCAATGCTAACCGCCAACTGATCTTCGTGGTCTTCAGAGAAATTGCAAGAAGCAACTAAAGAAATTCGTAAGCAAAGCTTTGGAAAAGCTTCGTCAGCCCACATTTCCACTCAATTCACTTTCAAGCCATTACAAATACTCAACATTCAAATCCCAAGCCATGGCAGAACAGGTTAGTTAGTTTTATTACCTTATCGTCTGAGTCGAGTGTTTCGGCCAAGAGTTTGCGTTTGCCGGCATAATTGAGTGAGGTGCGCATGCGTTGCGCTCTTATGTATATACGTACGTATGTTTGTATGTGAGACAAATACTTTTATTGGTTATAAACAACTTTTCTTTTATTTACCAGTATATTATCGTATTTCTTTGTTTTCTGTTTTTTTTTTTTTTGACATGACGTGACTTTTTATTTGCCCTTCCTGCATTCGCTTGGCATTTGAGTTGGGTGTGTATAAGTTATGAATATATTATATTTATGTGGATATGATAATAAGGCGCTATAATGCCACTGTCTAGTCAAATTTCAAATCACAACAGGTTGGGTGTGTGAACAAATAGTTTTTGGTTAAATAACTTTGTTCAATAGGTTTGGTATCTTTGTAGTTAAATAAATGTTAGATTGCCATAATAATCGTACAAAAATGTCATGGTAATTGAAATGCACATCACATCTACGTATATGGTTATGCGCTACTGATTTTTATCATATTTTAAATTCAAGTGCGTTGACACTTAAGAATATTCACTACAAATGATTTTCGGCATTATTTTATAGTTGGATTTGAGTTGTTTATATATACAAAAGACACTGTTTGGAAAATGGAAACTAGACTTTAAAAAATCTTGTATTGAATAAATTGAGAATTATAACGTGCGACATGACTGTTCTTTTGATTATTATTTATTTTGTATTTTCATGATTTTTTTTTCAAATCATAAAAAAATATAAAAAAAATAAAAAATGGTATATATCGGTTTTCAACAATTTTCATGTATTTAAGGCTTACATTTTATTTAAAATATATAAACTGCTTCTTCAGCACCATGATCATCTTAATGATAATAATCATCTACGCTTGAATTTTCCTCATCGCCTTTGTCATCACCATCATCATCATCAACTTCATTATTAATGCCACTCTACTCTCCATCACGATCATATCCAAGGCTTCTGCCGGTTTGGAAATTTTCCTCTGGTAGCTATAAGGAGATCAGAACTGATTAAAAGTCTGTTAAATATGCTTTCATTTGCTCTTTTCCTGCTGCATTTGCGCAAGAAATGTGCTCTAAAATCATTAAAATCATTGTTTTGATCATGCCGAGCTTCTCAGGATAATTGTCCGATTGGTAACAGCGCGTGGGATATTATCTTTGGCCAATGAACGAAATATTTGTGAAGTGTTGGAGGCATGTTATATATAGGATAACATTAAACAAAATATTTTTCTGTATTTAAAGCGAAGTCACGAAACTACTGTATGCCAATATTGAGCACACTAGAAACAACCACGACTATTGTATGCTACTTTTTAATAAAATTTATGTCAACTTTAGTAATTTCCGCTGGCAACTCGGGAGTTTGAAGGAAACGCTTGGAAGTATTGCCAATATTTAAGTTCCCAGAGTCATGTTTCGGTTAGTCAAGAATCAGACAAATTTTATTTTTAAATTCTTTTTCAATTTTCACGCTTGCACTCCGTGGTTTCCACTTTTTTATGCACAATTTATGGGATATGTGGAGCAGACATTCATATAACCTAATCCACCAGTGAAGTATCAAAAGAGCAAATTATGAGTTTTCTGCTTTAACATCTTTCTTAACCCCTCATCAATTACCTATAAATGACATTTTTGTGTAGATTTTGTTTCTCATAATGCGTTGAATACTTTTCCATCAACCACAGAAAAAAGGGTGTTTAATTCTCAAATATTTACAGGGTGCGCCATCTAGATGTATCCTATTTCAACATTGAATAGCTCCGCCATTTTTCAGCCGATTACGACAGATGAACATAATTCTGAAACGTCATTCAGTGCCATTTTAGCTGTGAGTCGGTACACACCGAAAGAATGCGCTGAAATTGCAGCGCTTTACATTGAAAACGATCGTTTAATTTAACGGTACCAGACTTTTTTCTGAGGGGATATTTAAAAAATAAAGTTTATGCCAGGAAGCCGAAGAACATTGACGAACTCAAAGCTAATATACAAGCTGAAATAGCAGCGATATCACCCGAAATGCTGGCCAATGTAATGCAGAATGCCCGCAAAAGTGCTGCTTTTTGTGTATCAAATAGGGGGGGGCATTTAATCGACGTTGTATTCTAAGCCTGGTTTGAAATAAATGATATAGAATATCGTAAAAAAATCTTGTTCATTTGTGAAAATTGGCTGAAAATTGGCGAAGTAATTCAATGTTGAAATAGGATACATCCAGATGGCGCACCCTATATTTCCACAAGGTAGAACTGAATCAACGAGATTTTGTATTTTTATACGAACTCTTTCGTTTCTTTTGAAATTTGCTGTATTTTATTTATTTTTTCTGACTTAAGAACAAATGCAGTTCGCATAAAAAAATACTAGGGAATTGCGCAATATTGACGTAACTTTTTTTTTTCAACAAAAAAAAGAGACTACAATAGCCAGAGATTATGGAAATGAAACAAGGTTTGCTTTACTCCGCTTAACTCATAACCATATGTCTACATATAAAGGCCGATTTCTTAGCTATTATCTTTTTGGCACCACAGGTTTAAAGAGCTGACGCACGTTTTGTGTTTGGGATCACTGTTAAACATCTTGAGAGTTACCGTGATATGATATCACACCTTTTTTCCCCAAAATGCAAGCGCTTGACTTGAATGACATGTGGTTTCAACAACACGGCGCCACATGCCACACAGCGTGCTTAACAATGGACTTACTGAGAGGCGAGTTCGGTGAACATTTCATTTCACGTTCGTGACCGCGGTTATTGATATTGGACATTGGCCGCCTAGATCGTGCGATTTAAAGCCTTTGGACAATTTTTTGTGGGGCTATGTTAAATTTAATAGACAAGCCCGCTTCAGTTGACGCATTGGAGGACAACATTAATGCATTTATTCGTGAGACATCGGCCGGAATGGTGGAAAGAGTATGCCAAGATTGAACTAAGCAGATGGACCATTTGAGGCTCAATCACGGTCACCATTTGCATCAAATAATCTTCAAACATTAAATTATAAGGGCCATATTATCTATTCAAAGATTTTATGCATTTTTCTGAATTTTATGTGTTTTTTTTTTCTGAAAAGCTTTCTTACAGTTCTTGAAAAATCACCCTTTATATTAGATTTCGTTTTGATTAGTAAACAAAAGTGACGTGATGGATGTTTTGGGGAAATTGAGGGCGGAAGCCAAGGTTTGAGACGAGCGGCCGTACGGAGGGGACTTAGAATAAATGGAGGTGAGCTTACTCCATTTGTTGCAAAGACGTCGATGAGTTGAAGGAGGGATATGGATGAAAATTGCGCTCAACAGCATACATATATAACATAGCGTTCTATTAATGGAATTGACTAGGAAAATGTATGAATGGTTTTAGTTAAGGCCGGTAACGAAAATGCATGCTTCTACAGTGCAGAGAAATTATTCAAATTTAATAAAAAAAGAAATGGAGCAAGTTTAGGTAGGTAGAGACGGTTTGTAAAATTAAAATATTTTTCGGTCGTCGCGGGGTACTTTGTCGGACCTCAATACGAAAATTGGGGGAAAAATGGACCTGGTGGGATAGGTTAATGATATGAAAAATAAACTGAGACCATTTAAATCAAAAGATAATATTGGGAGAAATTTATGCTGAATTAGACTCTTAAAACTTCCAAATTTCTTGTTGGTTTTCATTTAACTGTTTTTTTATTTTCACTTATACTTAATTAATTAAATTTCACTACGCTTATATACATACCTATTTATTTTCGAATTCCCCATACATACACACGTAAAAATGCCTCGTAAATATCTACAGCATTTGCTCATCGAAACAGGTCAGCCAATTAAATCATATCGCCCACATGCCATGCCTCATAAACAAAAACAACAACAAACCACAAATAAGTGTTCTAAATTTATGCAGCAACAGAAAAACAAAAAAAAAGGGGGAAAAAAAGTAGCTGTGAAAGTGAAAAGGTGGCGAATATTTGCCTGGATGATGAATGCTATTGCCGATGATGAATATTCATTTTTACACAACCAAAAAGAGAATATGAAAAGCGAAGAAAAAACAAACCAAAGTAAAGATAAAATTGTCGTCAAATTTTCCAAACAGCCACAAACGACAAATTCCATACGACAATAATAAAAGCCAACACATAGTGAACACGGGCCCAGCGGTTTGTTTTGGTCTTATTTACTTGCATTTAAATTATTTACACTTTTTTACTTGGGTGTACTTGGTGTTTGGTGTTGGAAACCAATCAAAATGTAAATTTTATAAGTAAATTAATTTTATACAACGTTGAGCAGCAGTTAAAAGCGTGTGCACCAGAACCGCAACGCAACCGCATAGCCAACGTAACGCAAAGCCGCGCTCGAATATCTCGGACCTCTGGGCGAGGTCGCTGCTGTTGATGGTGCAAAAGTATGGTGGCGGGCAATGCCGACATTTTGGTTTGGTGATTAAAACTTTTACATGACATTCTGCATGTTTTCTACCATTTTGCATATGTATGTATGTATTTATGGAGATAAGTAAGTCGATATGTGTGTGTGTGTGTGTCTTAACTTATTTTGAATATTTGCTAGCATATGGCTTTACGCACACTCACACACGGCACTGTGGTCTTGTTATTCCTTTTATTTTATATTTTTTTTCACTGTCTTTCGTACGAAATGTTAGCCACAATATACAAACACATACATACATACATATATTCATATACATATTCAACACAATAAGCGCGCGCCACACAGTAACTCCACTGACAGCCAAAATGCAATTTACCAAATGCAAAATATCATACACACGCACATATGTACATATATTC